TCTATCTATCTATCTATCTATCTATCTATCTATCTATCTATCTATCTATCTATCTATCTATCTATCTATCTATCTATCTATCTATCTATCGACATTTTAACTGTTTCCGCTCTCGAGGTCCCTTCACATGTTACCTATGTACATGGTTGCACACACTAAAAAGTAATTATTGCTTTAATTATTCATTAAGTGAATAATTCCAGGTATTTTCCACAAAATACATTTTGACATGTCACAGCAGGTAGAAAAAGCAAACTTACTGTTTTGCTATGACTGTTTGCCCTTGAAGAGATGGAAGTCATTGTCAGTGTGATTCGTAACAAATTAAAATCTCAGCTCTCAAGAATACAGAGCTTTCTGTGCAGGGGAATTCATTAGTGTAGAATTGTACCGATAATTTTTTTTGATTATCCTTAAACGTGTGTTTTAACGTGAACAAGTCTGAACAAGATCAAGCTCACAGTGACGGGGGTTACATCAGGTCTGACTGTGAGGCTTATCTCACTGTGCAGGTTGTGAAGCTCTGCAGTAATAGAGACAGAGGAGCAATCTGGCTGTTGACAGTGAGCTTTTAACCCTTTTCACTGCACAGGCAGGCTTTGTTTGACTCCAAGGATTATGGCCACATACAAAGCTCTGCACCCATCAAGAAAGCCATCCCTGTCAGAGCTACTGACGTCATTACTCTTTAAAAACAAGATGCTACCAGAGAGTCTGAAGACTGTTCAGCTTCAGAGATGGACAGAACCGCTTCAGCTACGCTCACTTTGGTGGTTTTCTTCCTCTGCTGGAGTTGTCACGCCAAGGACGATACTGAAGCTCAATCCTGCCCAGAATACCAGGAAGGTTTCGATGGCTCGTGCTACGAGTTTGTGGATGTGCAGCGATCCTTTCGAGGTGCTGAGGAATGGTGTGAGCGAGGCGGAGGACACTTGGCCTTTATCCTGAACGATGAGACGCAGCAGTTCCTTCAGAAGCACCTGAAGCCTGACAGGAACTGGTGGCTCGGAGTGGCACCTGCTGCTCCCAACCTCACGCTTGACTCTGCTGCCACTGAGGGTGAGAGGAGGCACTGAATGACTTCTTATGACTGTATGCATTTCAGTGCTAACATAAACAGTTAGAAAAAAGGTTTTGCAGAAAGTTAGTAAAATTATTGCTTCTTTATAATAGACAAGAACTTCTTTGAAACACACTATAAATATTAAGTATTCTGGTGCACTTATTGACAGAAAAGAGGTATAAGTGATCAATGATTATATTACAAAGTGCACCATAAATTTCAGAAATGAAGGCATTATAACCTCTACTGCTATCTCACTGGGCAGCTTGTGTGTGCATTGTAAATAACTGTGATGTGTTTGTTTACTGACATTCGCAGTGAAAGGAGCCCAGTTGGATATCTCAGCCAACAGGTGTAATGGGAGATAATTGTCACTCTTTTGAACTATTCAATAGGGTGGCTGTCACAAGGCCTGATTTACAGTGGTGTGTTTGTTTCCCTTCACAGAGGACAAGACTTTACCATTTATTCACCCCGTCTGTTCTTTACTGTCAGAAAGAAAACAAATGGGGATGCAGTAATAACATTTCCACCGCATTTCGCTTGATTATCAAAAGTAATTGTTGTGCTTTTTCAGGTGTTCTCGCTTGGTTGGACAGCTCAGATGTAAGTTACAGTAACTGGGTTAACTTGCCAGATGATCAAGCAGCCTGCGCGCATGTCCTGAGACACTCAGGCTTTCAGTGGGAAGCTACAGAAAACTGCAGCCAGGAATTTAACTTCATTTGCCAATTTGGTACGTGCCCTTAAAAAACTTCATATATGACAATACAATTATGCTGCTTCTTTTTCTTATGTAAATTTTCTTCCGTTATTTCTCCCTGCAGATTCTGGGAGATCAATTGCATGTGATGGCCAAAACGCTACACTGCAGTGTGGTTCTGGTCAAGTTATAGAGATTGATGACAGTTTTTACGGTCGTAAAACAATCCACTACTGCCGATCCCAACTTACACCCTCGCCCACGTCTTCCCAGGAAGAGTGCAGCTGGATGGATGTAACAGATTATGTAACAGGTATTATGGGTCACATCTTTTTAATTGACTTGATCCAGCTTTTGATGGCAGCTATGATACAGAAACAGAAAAATATGTTTACAATAGGTTGGGCTACTCGTCATTTACTTAACCAGTTATTTACCTCGTTACATTTTAGAATGGTAAATTCTGCGGATGCGTGCAGTGTTTGTCTTTATTAAAGCAACATCATCCAAAAGCCAAGAAAAAACTTAGTAAAATCAATACTATTATGTTTTTGTTTCTCGATTCGTGTAAAACATAAAAGCCATCATTGCTCTGTGACTGCAGACAAAGGGGTTATACTGCCAGAAACTAAATTCGTGTAATCCCTCCCTGTTGGAGGTGAAAGATGGGTAGAGTGAATCTACATCCATATTCATAGCAGTATTAGTTATGCTGGAGGGGTTAGTAAACTTCTCCCTCTTTAAAAAGCTATTATGCAGTCTCACCAGAAGCTTGTAGATACAGAAGGAGGATGTTGAAATTTGATAGTATGAACATTAAATAGCAGCATTCTTTTGAAACATCCTTACCAAAAACAACCTGGGCAAGATTTATTTAGATTTAAATCCCATGTATGGTAGATGCAAGAAATCTGATTGGAACACTTATTCATACTTTTTGGGACCTTCCCCGTCTCCTTAAATTCTGAAGGGAGGCCTTTAAAATCTTGATCAGTCTCCAATAACTCCAGTATTTGAAATATCTGGTTGAAATAATATGCCTTCCAACATATAGGTTGCATTTGCTACACAAATAGCTAGAAGCTTAATGCTTATAAAGCGGAAGGATGAGACATGTCCCAACCACACTCATTGGATCAGAGACTCAGTGCATTTCCTGGACTGACTTTGAAGAGATCAAGTGATAATAGCCATTTATCTTGGTGAAGAATGCCAATTTCATGACATATTTATTTAAAATAATAAATATTTATATCTCACTTGTTTATCTAGCTAACTCAATTTTAGCATTTATTGTTTTTATTTGCTTTTTGTGTGACTTTTTCTGCGTTGCCTGTAAAGTCTTATCATTAATGTGCAAACCCTAATAAATAAAGTGTGTTTCATTGCCGTTTGCTCGGCTTGCTGTATGTGTTATTGCAGCTCACTGCCATGGACTGCAGGCTTGCCAGGCTGGAGTAGATCTGAGCACTTTTGGTGAACCATGTCCGACGCTGGGAAGCTACCTGTCTGCAGAGTATCGCTGCAAAAATGGTCAGATGCACGATTTCTTGTTTTATATACACTTTTTGCGCTAAACCCATCAGCCTAAACTCAACCTAAATTCATAAAGACCAGCTGATCAAAACAGATTCCATAGTGCTTATGATGTTATGTGCAAAGATCTTTGACTGTATGTTTCCACAAGTCTAATTCAGTGATGTGATTTCCTCCTAGGGCTTCAGCTGCTGATGAGTAAACTTGCAGCTGTCTTCGATAATGTCACCATCACCGTGAAGTGGCTCCTTCATCCATTCCAGGGAAACTTAACATGCACAGTGAATGCTGGGGATGGCCACACTATTGATCCGTACAGCCCAGAAGAGTGAGCAAAGATTTGCAGTTGACCAAATATGTTAGATGGATCTTAGTACTTTATTTATATCACAAACACTGCTGCTTTTTCACAGGATGGAGAGCACAATTATACACAAATTCACACATCCTGGTGTCTTCCTGGTTGGAGTGGAGTGCACTACCAGTGACTGGAATGTCGCAGCTCAGAAGTCCATAACGATTCAGGAGCCAGTTGGAGAATTCAGTGTGATCATGTGTAATGGCCAGAATATGTCAACAGGTGGCACTAAATGCATTGCCCTCTTCAATATTCCAGTTCAAATCCAACTTGCAGTGGAGGCAGGTGAGTCAGTTTGGCAGCACAAGGGGTGCGACGATACGTCCATTTCTCAAAAATAGAAGATCATTCTGTTCTTATTTTCTGTAACTAGGTACAAATGTTTCCTACACAATTCATCATGAAGCCCATTTAGTCGCAAATCAATCAGTGGGCAGCGGAAAAATGCCACACAATATTACCCTGAATGCAAGCATGGTGGAGAAGCTCGGTCATGGTTGCCACAACTTCACCTTAGCTGCATCTAACAAGGTCACAACCCGCACGGTGTCTGCTCATCTAGAGCTGTGTCTGCTGCATCCCGTTGAAGGCCTGCAGGCCTCTGTGATTGTGGAGGAAGACGTATGTCCCGACTCGTGTGATCTCATCATTAACATTTCACTGGAGCGAGGGGCCCCCGTGGAGCTGCTCTTCACACTCACTGGAGCTGAGGACACTCTGTCGGAGAGCAGAGACATGCTCGCTGATGGCTTGCAAACTTACACATTCTCCAGCCCACTTAAAGGTACTTAAAGCTTGAGTCATGCTCCTGTTAAGACAAAACAAGTACCAGTTATATATGATTTGTGCCCAATTTGGTTAAACATGATCTCTTTTGGTAAAGGATCTTTGCAAGTGAACGTAAGAGCCACCAATGGTCTTTCATCCTCTGATGTCGATGTGGACTTAGACAAGATTCTTGAGGCTTGCCAGAATTACTCTGACTTTTCACCGAGCACCAATGAACATACAGTATGTAAAATATCATTTTAAACAGAAATAATCTGGGAACTTGTGCAAAATATGTAGCCTGTTGCAGAAATGACTGCAGCACAATGACTCTGTTTTCATCTCCAGGCAGATAATGTGAGTGACAGTGACTCTGCTGACTTGAAAATAATTGCTACTCCTGACACTTTGGTTGACTACACTCAGAGGGTTACACTGACAGTAACTGGAACTGAATCACTGCCTAGCAAAGAACTGGCATATGAATGGGAATGCAGTAAGTACAACACTAATTCACTGATCACTAAATTGTGATATGATGCATGGGTCGAGGGAAACCTGGTCATTCAGATCCTTGTTGAAACGACACAAGCTCTGCCTCTGCATCATCGTGAAATTTGTTTTGGATGTATCGGGAAAATACGTAATCACACAACAGTACAATCAAACTGCAACTGTAATCTGTGATCATTACAAGACAAGAAACACCTAGAAGAGTGCATTATGCCCTAAGTCAAGAAAATTTGCACGGAAAATAGTGTCAGATTGCAGTTTTAGCAGACAGAGCTGATGCTGCACTGCATTGCTTATACAAAATGTTTTATGCTTCATCTTGCTATACCACAGCATTATTATGACATCATTATTATTGTGGTCTTATATTGAGACTGTTTCTGCTTTTTTTCCCCACACAGGAGATTGCAAATGCAAAAACAAAACAATGGATGAAACTCATGTGATTGAACGAGAATGCCTCCCAGATCCACTTGAAATGTTCAGATACATTTTAAGAGTAAAGAGAAGGACTTGGTTTAGGAAATGGGCTGAACTTGGAACAGCTTCTAAATGTGTCTCTGTTGTTCCTTCAAAAGAACTCACAGATGTCACCATCAGGTAAAATGGGTTTAATTAGAAACAATGGTATTTGTACAGGATTGCAAAAATGCATCAGGAACTACAACCAGTTACTTTATGTTCTTAATTCTTGCAGCTGTGATAATTGTGCTTCAATAAATGTGAATGACCAGGCAAAGCTAAGACTGAGCTGTTTGACGACTTGCCCGCATGTAGTTTGGTATATTGAGGACCTTAAACCTTTGACAGTAAGTCTGAAACAACAACAGGAAATGTGGCTAAATAGACCGGTGTGACAAACAAGAAATAACTAATGAGTTCTCCTCAGGGTAGCCTCGGTAGATGCTACTCCAAAGCGGGAAGACGGCCCCTTACGGAGAAGCACGATGGCAACATTGAATACACCGTTCACAGCCAATATCTAAAAATCTCAAGGGGCATGCAGCAGAACATCACTGTAATTGCTTATGGTGTGTTTTCATGTCATAGATAGACACAGAATGTGTCTTTTAAAATACATTTTTGATCAAAGTCTAGAAAACAAATTATACCTGATTTTTTTTTTTTTTTTAAACAGACAAGAAGGAGCCGGGGTTTGTCAAGTACACACTTCTGATACCACACCCCGAGCCAACTGAACCACCTACAAACTCAGTAGTCACAACTGATGCACTGATGGATCCCTCAGTGCCCTCATGTAGCATCTCCCCACCGTCAGGAACTGTGCTCGATGCTTTTGACATTACCTGCAAAACAACTTCTTTCTGCTCTACAGGCTGTCTCTATTGCTTCAAGACCAACACAGGTGAGAGTGTGGTGGAGTGTAATTAGTGTTATTGATGAAAGCAATCTCACAGCTTTTCTGTTTTGATAGTTTTATTTAGCTTTTTAGCCCTTGCCACAAGAGGTCACCACAGCAGACAGCAACCACATGTTTGATTTGGCAGTTTTATATCTGGAACTAGTGACCTTTTGTTTGCCAAGTGAATATGTAAACCACTACACCATGGGGCCACTAACTCATGAGCAGAATATAAATAAAGCTTTTGTGGTATTTTCGGGCCACGTGCCAGCATCAGCTGCTGCTTTATCAGTTCAAACAAATTGTACAGCTCAGTTGAGAAATGTTTTTTTGTTAGATCGTAGCGCTTTAAAATAAAAAATCTCAGTAGGTGGAGTCATCGTGGTCTGGGTCAGCTGACCCAGCATTTCTCAGTTTGAACTTTCTAGTATTTATTTAAGAGTCTCTTTAATTCCAGGGTTGCTTAATGTTTATGGTTTTCTTGTGTTTTCCTCTTTGCGTATTCAGTTTGTTCTTAGTTCCTCATTCCTTTAGAGCCATTCCTCTTTCCTGTCTCAAGTCTGTGTCTATGATCTTTGTCTTGAAACTTACTTAGTGCGTGTTATTAGCTTTAGGTTTACAGTTTTCAGTTTTCTTACTACAAATCCCAAACATAAGCTATAAACCTGCCAACAGCCTACAATAAATGGTTCACAGTCTGCGTTCAGGTCCTCACACTACTCTCCACTACACATACTTGACAGGAGTGGTTCGAAAAGTTGGTGGTTGACTCCCCGGAGAAAGTAAATTAGTTTTCATTTTGATACTTTATCAACCAATGTGTAGGTACGTAATTGAGAATCAAGTGCAACCGTGCTAAACTGCTTCTTTGGTCCTTTAGGCACACATCTACGATGCAGTACTTCAAATGAGGTGAGGTCAGTCTTCTTGCCTCTCGGCGATGCCAACAACAAGTACAGTTTGTCTGTTGTGGTGACTGTGAAAAATGAGCGAAAAACAGCAACTTCAACTGTCATCACTCAGGTTGGTCATCAGTCAATTATTACATTTTCTCAAATACAAAAAGGAAGATTAGAGAAATGCTAATGATTAATTAAATAACCTCAGTTATTGTGTTTCTACCTTAAGGTACGGAAAGGTGACTCCAGTGCCTCCGTTAGCACTCTCCAGTCTGCAGTGGAGGACTCTGTGAGTCAGTTAGAGGAGCAAGGTCTGCTCACCGGTGAGGCGCTTGGACAAATATTTGCTTCTGTTTCCGATATGCTGAATACAGTGAGTGGCCAACATCAGAGGGACGAGCGGTCAAAGGTAACAGAATGCAGTTAATGTTATAACTGGACCGGATAACACTGCTGTGATGTTTACGAGGCCCACAACTTGCGAGTGGAGAACATGATAATCATCGTTTCCTTCTCTTTCAGCTGAGAGAGCAAATGCTGACCAGAATGAGTACAGTTCTGCAGGACTGCCCCAGCAACACGACTCAGGAAGTGCAAGTGACCGCCAGAGCTGTGGCTGGGCTCACGCACCGCTCAGAGGAGCTCAGTCCTGCTGCTCAAGTATAATACATTAGATATGCAATAAAGTGCAGTGCAGACCACCTGCTTTGATAAGGCTGTAACAATACCTGCTGTCTGTTTGCATTATTTATTTAAGGATCAGTCTGAAGTGTTTAATCAGTCAAAGCTGATTAAAGACTAAAAATGTGACGTTGGCACAGATGTGTAAAACACAGCAGGATTAAGTGAAACCAGTATTCAATCATGCAAAGTCAGTCAACTTCTTGAGTAGGACTCTTCAGAACAACTGTTGAATTTAACTGTGCAATGAATATATTTTGCAGCAACACCAAGCTAAAAAAACAACAACAAATTAAGTTTAAATACTTAATTTGGGTAGTTTAAATACCCATTTAAACTACAGGTTTAGTGTAATCATCAGCCTTTTTTGTAGGCTTAAGGCAAATCAACACTGACCCTTTTGTGGTTTCTGCTGCTGCATTTCCTCTCTCCAGGAAGAAGCGGGTTCTCTGTTGGTAGACCTCAGCTCCTCCCTCAACAGTATCAGCATCAATCAGCAGAGCACAGATGATGTAGAACTGGTGCAAGCAGCTGCACCCATAGTTGAAGCAGCCAGTAATATTTTGAATGTTTCATCAAATGTGAGAACAAAATTATGACATATCATGCTGGATGTCATTCCTACGTCCACTGCGGTCTTTACCAAACAAGATGTTGTATGTTCTCCTTAGAAAAAAGTCTCAGAGTTTCTTCTGACTGGGATAAATAATGTCCAGAGTGCTCTGCTGAATAACAAAGAGCTGAACGGAGAGCCTGCCATCATTGACTCTGGTCAAATCAGTGTGTATGTGAACAGGTAAGACATAACAGGCTCTGACTTGGACATGTGCTCAAGAATTCCTGAAGATAATTATAACACCGTCTTCTCCAGGATTTCTCCAGAAAGCATGCAAATGCTGGATATAAATGCTCAGAAAAACAGCTCCTCGAGTTTTTCCTTCCCTGCTCTTCCTCCTCATATTGTCTCTCCAGATGAGCCAGTGGACGTCAGAGTAAGTGTTTGCACGCTGGAGGGAAGTGGACATCATCATCAGTATATTTTTGAGAGTTTTTTCTGTTTTCTGTTCTAGTTTTCTTTTTTAGTCAGCATTTGTTTTTTCCTATAGCTGAAAGTCCACAGTTTAGATTTGATGAACGTATAATTTTAGCTCCAGCAATAAGAGATACAAACAGACCACCTTATTTGTAGGGTTATCTCTCTTTTCTGGCTTTGTAAACTACAAGATGTTGGAACCATTTAAAAGAATTACAAACAAGTAAAATCATAGAAATAAAAGCGAGAAGGAAAAGGTGTTTTCAGAAAGCAAAAGCAAAGTTTTGTAGATGGAAAAAAAAGGCTTCACCAAAATCATCTGAGCCTCTATTTATTGTATTACCTACTTTCTAGATGATGAGTTTTGAGAAGAATCCATATTCTTGGAAGGAGGAGAACATCACAGGAACTGTGGGATCCGTTTCCCTCACCAGAGTGAATGGCAATGTCATTCTTGTTGAGAACTTACCTGAAGAGATAGAGGTACTATTGTATAAGAGATACTTTTATTTACTTTAGTTTAAGAAGCATTTGGGGCATGATGTCTTTTCTGGAGTTTCAGATTCTCCTACCCCGGCTTGACAGTGGACAGGAGAACAGCACAGTCCTGGACCTCGCCAATTTCAGCACATTAATAATTGACGTTCCCTCTCCGGATGTAACACTGGTGCTGAAAACTGAGCCTTCTGAAGACATTTCCTTCATGCTCTTCCTGGGATATAAAGATTATCCAAGTGATAAGGATTATGTAGCCAAGACAAAGATCCCTATAGAGAGCGCGAGAGAAGGTCAGTATTTTGTTTTTAGAAAAGAATATTAGGGTTGCATATAATTAATGTAAATTCTTTTTTATCTGGGCTTCTTTTTCTTAAAATAACCGACATCCCTAAGTATCATGATAACACAAACACTTCTTTTGCGTACTGCCATGTTAAAGTTTAGGACAGCACAATTAGAAAAAGACTGAACGAGCCTTTTTAGCTTGTTTTGGAGGGGTTTCCAGGAGAAAACCTCTTCTCTCAGAAAGAACATGACAGCACAGCTTAGGGCTACAAAGTTTCATCTGAACAAACCACAAGAGTTCTGGAAGAATGTTTAAAGAGATGAGACCAAAGTGCAGCACCATGTTTGATTAAAACACGCAGGATATCAGCACAAACGCCTAAAACCAAACCTCAGCCTGATTGAAATGCTGTGGTGGGACCTCAAAAGAGCTGTGCATAAACTAATGCCTAAAAATGAAATGAAGAACCATTGTAAAGAAGACTGAGCCAAAATTACATCAGAGATCAATGAAGCCTAGCAAAAAGTGATTATTTTTAAGTTACTGCAGCTAAAGGTGGTTCTACAAGCTCGGGTGTGGTAGCTTTCTTTTTCACGTGACTGCAGAACAAACATCCTTTTCATACTTTGCAGATAACAAATAACAGTAGATCCCATTCCTGTGTGGTCATGCATGGTGAATAATGTACTGTATAGTATAGTGTGGATGTAAATCTGCATTAAGTTGAAGATAGCTCTCAAATTGTGGGAACCAGAGCCACATTATGAGGGCATCTCTACCTCATGAAGACAAGGATTAAGCATTAAGGTTATGCAAGCAGTAATTATGGTTAAAGTTAGATTGAGTCTTCTTAAAATTGTCTCTATCTCTCTGTTATAACACAGAAGAAAAATTTACTTGGGTGCTGAGTCCCAAAGACAGAACAGATGATGTTGGTGTGCACTACCTTGTTATAAAGCCCATTGTAGAGCCAGGAATCAAATCCATCAACGCCAGTGTCACTGTCATCTCCATCGCTGCCCAGTGCAAATACTGGAATGAAACTGGGTCTTTTTGGAGTGAGGATGGCTGCAGGGTAGGTGGAAAAAAATCACATGCAAACTGATTGCATTATTACTTCCTTAAAATGTGGAGTGTGAGGTTTGATCACCTGGCTTCCTGTTTTGTTCACAGGTTGGTCCACTCACCACACCTTTGGTCACTCAGTGTCTCTGTAACCACTTGACTTTCTTTGGCAGCTCCTTCTTTGTCATGCCTAACTTAGTGGATGTGTCACGCACCGCTGAACTTTTTGCTACATTCACAAACAACCCCGTTGTGGTGTGTTTTGTCGGAGCCATTTTTTGTGCTTATCTATTGGTGGTGGTATGGGCGCGCAGGAAAGACATGCAAGATTCAGTCAAGGTAAAGTACAGCTTCACCAGTTTACACCTTTTGCTTTTAAGAATTTCATGCTAACCTTCAATGTTTCATCTTGATTTTACTTTAATTTTGTCTTGAAATTAAAATTTTACCATCATGTTTAAAAAAAAAAAAAAATCCTAAACGTTGCCCCATTGCATCCACTTCCAGGTCAAGATAACAGTTCTTGAGGACAACGACCCCTTGGCTCAGTATCGTTACCTGCTGAGTATTAACACAGGACACCGACATGGGGCATCCACTTCCTCTCAGGTCAGTGATGTTGATGCAGACTTGGATGGACTCACAGCAACTGATGTTTTTGTTGAACAACATATGATTGCGGTATTCTGATGGCTCTCACCATCCAAGCCTCGACTAACCATTTAGTTATTTTTTTATTTTAGGTAACCATAACTCTGCTGGGTACAGAGGGAGAAAGTGAGCCCCACCACCTGACAGATTCGGAGAAGCCTGTGTTTGAGAGAGGTGGGGGGGACATGTTTCTGCTGACCACACTCTTTTCTCTTGGAGAGCTGCAGAGCATAAGACTGTGGCACGACAACTCAGGAGATCACCCTGCGTGGTACGTGGGTCAAAGGGAAAAAGGCTAATGATAAGCTTGAGCTGTATCAATATTTTTGAGGATCTATACTTCAATCAATGTGCAGGTATGTTAGCAAAGTGATGGTGCAGGATCTGGAGACTGGTCAAAAGTGGCACTTTCTCTGTAACTCCTGGCTGGCTGTAGATATGGAAGAGTGCACTCTCGACAAGGTATTCCCAGTAGCAACGGAGGTGGATCTAAAGAGATTTAGGTGAGACTTGTCATTTATTCAAGGGATTTTGAATCCACTCTGTTTTTGGAGTTTGTTTTCTTGACTTTAATTTCTTGAATCACTTTTCTTAAAAACGTTTTAGTAATCTGTTCTTCATGAAGACAGCCAAGGATTTCCGTGACGGCCACATCTGGTTCTCTGTCATTAGTCGACCTCCATGCAGCACTTTTACACGTGTGCAGCGAGTGTCCTGCTGTTTTTCCTTACTGCTGTGCACCATGCTGACCAGCATCATGTTCTGGGGCATCCCCACAGACCCCTCTGAGCAGACGATGGACCTGGGTAAGTAACAAAATGTACACAAAGCTTTCACAAAGCTGAAAAACAACAGTAGGTAAGTAATTTTGTAATGCAAAGTGTTTAATATTTAATCCAAGAGTTTTTGATACTTCTGCATCATAAGTGTAATTTTTTATTTTGTTAAAAACTTTATGAATACAATCAGACACATGCAGCAAATTATGCAAATTAAAATTCATATATGCAAATTGATGTTTAAATACTTTTTGTTAAATAATTTGTTACAAGATTCAATAAACACAACAGGTTCAAATATTTTGATTTTGATGTGAAGAGAAATATCTCATGGTTGATGTGGAGTTTGATGCTCATGATGCTCATGTGAGTTTTGGATTCCTGCATTCATTTTATTACACTCTCCATGAATTCTAGTGTTTTGTTTCTTGTTTGGTTCAGTTTTGGGGGCCCTGTTCCCAGTTCAGGTTTTAGAATTGAGTGTTACGATGTGTTTCAGTTTGTTCTAACATTTTATTTCAGTTCATGGCTTGATTTTAGTCTGTTTCCCAGTCTGTATTCCCGTTTCTTTGTTTATGCGCTCGCTCCTTCTGCATCCCTGACTTCCTGCTTAATGGAATCCTTTATGGATGGATCAGGTCTGCTCCTCCCTGATTTTACCTGTTGTTAAAAACTTTCTCATACATCCAGCCCTCACCTGTGTCTTGTTTGTCTATAACTCTGTTGCATATTTGTAGCCCCGTCTTCTCTTTTTTTGTGGTTTGGTCCCAGATTACTTTGCTCACTTGCTTGTTTGGACTTACACTTAGTTTTCAGTATTAAAAGCTTTTCTTTAATTGCACATTTCCTTACCTTCAAGTCTATGCATCGTCAAAACTGACAAGATTTACAAATTTTACATACGTGCAAACGAAAAGAAGAATATCTGATTGATTTTTTACAAAAGATTTGGTAGCAGGAGTAAGTAAGACCAACATAAAAAGATTTAATCTTTCATCAGTGTTCATTAAAACCCAATTCAAAGTAAAACTTTAACTTGGCAGGTCACATCGAGTTTACCTGGCAACAGGTTATGATTGGAGTTCAAAGTTCAATCATCATGTTCCCCATCAATCTGCTCATCGTGAGTATCTTCAGAAACACTCGACCTCGAGAGAAAACCACCAAAGCAGATGCAAAACAGGGGAAGACTGTCCGAGTTTCTCCCTCACAGACGTCGTCCCCACAGAAAGAGATAAAGGACATCACACCAGATACCGTGATGAAGGTGAAGTTTATGTTATTTGTACCTCTTCAGTGTAGTACCAGTAAATATTTTGTTCTCCATGTCTGAAGAGCTTGGTGTGGTTTCTTGATTAGGACATAAAAAGAATTGCTCAGTCTCTCTCAAAGGCCATGAAGAGCCCACTGCTACATCTGGAGCTCCATCACGGTCAGCAGGCTGACATCAACAGTCTGCTGTCTCTGGTGGAGGACATCATCAGACAGCAAAACCAAGCCGCTGAAGACTTCTACACTGATTCTTCTAAAAAAGATCAAGCTATGATCCTTAGTTTGGGTGCGGTGAATCTGCAAGGTAAACTGCACTATAATATTATAAATGCTTTTAAATTCTATATATAATTTATGTCCTTCTTTGTGTGTTTGCTTGGACAGAAACCAGTGTGTGGGAGGGCTCTGAAAAAACTTTAGATCTAGCCCAGAAGAAGAGCAACAAGAGCCGGTACCTGTATAGGCAACTGCAGCTTATCGAGAAGGAGCTTGGTATGTTGGGACCTTCTCAGTTTCCAAATCCAGACAGCTACAACCGAGCCATGCAGCAAGTTCATGGAATGAAGGGGCTTCTGGAATACCACCTACCCATGTCAATCCTGGATGGAGACAAGCTCAGCTGTTTCCCCGGGCCAGAGGAGAGTCTTGGTGGGAAGAAGAAATGCTGCCAAGGAGGGCTGCCGTGGTGGTTTGTGTTTATCGGGTGGATACTGGTGATTGCAACCAGTGGTGTGTCAGGATACTTCACTATGATGTATGGGCTGACTTACGGGAAAGACCGTTCTATAAGCTGGCTTATTTCCATGGTGGTCTCCTTTTTTGAGAGTCTTTTTATCACCCAGCCTTTAAAGGTGAGAAACATTACAGTACATGTAGGAGCAGAAGATTTTAGCCCACTTTAGAAGATTTTTTTAACTGACATTTTATTCAATTTTAGAAAATTACTAAACAATATCAAATCCGTTTTTGTGCGAAATACTGCACTGATTTACCTGTATACTGCAATTACTGTTACATTTTCTGAAGACAATCCACTCTAGACAAGCCATTTTTAAATGGGAGAGTCTGTAGGTCAATCTCTCTATCTTTTGCTGCAGGTTCTTGGATTTGCTGCTTTCTTTGCCCTCGTCCTGAAGAAAGTTGACCAGGAAGAATACGGAGAACCAGCCATAGAAGAAAGTCTCAGAAGCCCAGGTAGTTTTATTTTGTATCCTTGTTTTTTTGGGTTTTTTTAAATTTTGCATTGCATCTTTTGCATTGTTTTGTGTTGAAGAACAAAAAATGCAATGCATCTAAAATCGAAAATCCTTCCCCAGACAATCCTGATGCAGTCCAGGCAGCAAGAAGAGACAGCACCTGCAGTTTCTATAAACCACCACCTCCCACTGATATCGAGAAGATGCGGAACAACATGATTAAAGAGCAAAAAGTCTTTGCACTCATACGGGAGATAGTTGGTGAGGAAACCACTTTGATTCAAAGCAAGAACAGGAACTAACATTTTAACAAACTGATGTAAGGGATCTGTTTTTGTTGCAGTCTATACGGGATTTATGTGGATGTTACTCCTGGTGGCATACGGTCAGAGGGACCCCAACGGCTACTTTCTGACTCAACACATTCGCAAGAGCTTCAGCAAAGGCATCTCAGACACAATGAGCATTCAAGATGTCTTCAACTGGGCAAACACGACTCTGCTGAGCAACTTGTTTGGAGAGTACCCAGGTCAAATATCAGTGACGCTAATTGGCACACAGAATGTTTTACATGAATCCCTTATGAAATTTGAAAATCTTTTAGTTTAGTTTTGATAGTTTTTTTTAAATAAATAGCTGAAGCTTATCTCAATTAAAAACAATTTTAAAAATGTCACAATTAAATACAAGATATTAAACAACTCCTGAGAATTTAACAATATTACCCATGTGAAACTAACTCTATATTTATGTAGTAAAGCATAAAGATTCATTAAAATTTCTTCTTGTCATTTGGAAATTGGTACCAGGATTTATCACTGATGGAAACTCAAGGCTTGTGGGCAACGCTCGTCTCCGCCAGGTGAGGGTGCAGAAAAACTCTTGCCACATAGCTCGATCCATGCAGGAGTCTATCCCGGACTGTCACACTCCGTACTCATGGGAGCTGGAGGACATGGGCTCCTACGGCCCAGGTTGGACTCGACCTGTAGGTCGTAATGCTTCAACGAACATTCACGACCCGTGGAAGTACAAGTCTCAGCGTAAACTGAGGGCCTACCCCATCTGGGGCAATGTGAAGTTCTACAGAGGAGGAGGGTTTGTGATGGATCTGGGGCCAGATTTCCAAAACTCCAGCAGGTAGTTAATTTTAATTGCGGGTGACATTATTGCACAAAATATTTAGAATTCAGAGCATTTATCAAATAAAAATATTAAAATTAAAATATTGTTTCATACATAATAATTGCAGTTGTAACTTGTGGGTTGCAGGTTTAATTACTCTTATTAAGACAAAGTAAACTTAAATGTATGATGAGTAGACAGGAGCCATTGCATTGGTCTCCAGAAATATGACTATTATGACCAAATAAGTAATTTGCTTCTCAAAAAAAGATCCACATCCACATGGCTCAGCTGATACTCTTCTCAATGAATATTCACTTTATAAATCACATCTATGCTACACTTTGGGCTACTTTAGCCTGCTCACAGTTGCAGCATGTAGCAGCAGGCAGGTTTTCAACCATCTCCTCCTGAGCTGACTTAATCAGTGTCATATCTCTTAACACTGATAGATGCTTTGCCCTTGCTGGTCAGAAGATCCCATTTATACTGGCAAATCTAAATTTCTGCAGATAGAAAAAACTATCTTATCTTGAGTGTCCCTGACTGGTTCTGATTTGTCTTTTTTATCCTTGTAGGAAAGAACTGTTAGTCTTGAGTCACGTTTTAAAGTACAAAATCTGTAAATTACTTCGTTTATCGTTGCTGCTGTAGAACCCTTCAGTACCTTTATGAGAACACCTGGTTTGACGTGTACACCCAAGCAATCTTTGTTGAGTTCACTGTGTACAATGCCAATGTCAACCTCTTCTGCATCGTCACACTCGTGCTGGAGACCACAGCAACAGGTAAGTAGACCAGATGTAGATATTCTGTGTGAGTTGCACAAATCCTCAACCGTTATGAGAACCACCTAATCTGTCATACCGTGTTTCTAACAGGAGCGTTCCAGTTCTGCAGTGAACTTCAGACTGTGCGTCTTTACCAGTCGACCGGTGGCCTTCACATCTTTGTCGTGGCTTCTGAAATCATCTACTTTCTTTTCATCATCTATTACATGTTTGTTCAGGTGCACAAGCTTTATCTTTTCTTTGCTAATATAAATATAAGCTATTACAAGTGAAGTTATACAGTAAATATGCTCACCTGATTCTGTTTCCTATGTGTTTACAGGGAAAGTTGATGAGGAAACAGAAATGGACTTATTTCAAGAATAAGTGGAACCTGCTCGAGTTGGCGATCATCATTCTCAGCTGGAGCGCCCTGTGTGTTTTCATCAAGAGGACTTTACTCGGGAACAGAGACATGAACTATTACCAGAACAACAAAGAGCAGTAAGCAATAAGAAATGCTGTGAGTTTATGAACCACTTATGTATTGCTCTGCCCACCAGGAGCTGCACAAATCAGGTTTTTTTCTATTTCTCAGCATGCAAGGTCACAATTTAGTGGCTCTCCAGTAGCATGACCATGCATTGATGAAACGAATTCACTTTGGCAGAGAGTGCATACATCATGCTGTGCTACTGGTAGTTTGGGAACACTAATTTTAGCTAAAACAAATCATTTGTGTGTGTGTGTGTGTGTGTGTGTGTGTGTGTCTATGCGTGTGTGTAATCCCTGTGAGCCAAAAGCTCAGGCTTCAGGTTTAAATGGTCTGTTTCAGAGAGTTTTTTATCTTTATAGGGATGGGAAAGGGAGCTAAAATTGTTTGTTTTTGACAGTGGATGAATTGAAGGGCTTTACAAAGGTCTAGTGTAAAGCCTTGAATATATCTTCCCCATCTGTCCCCCAGGTCTGCTCAGATCAGGGTGAGGACAACCTCATCATTAGACAGCGAGCGCTAGGGTCCGTGTGGATGTTTGTGTGTCTGTCTGCTTTTTGTGACCACGTGGGCTCGTCCATAGAGAATTTACATTACACCAACAACACATCCACCCCGGGCTCAAGCGGACTTCAAAGAAATATAATAGGGATAACTACTCAGCCGAAAAGTGTCCACAACAAAGACTTAACGTGTGAGAGGATTATTTTTAACTGTTAATCAAGTGAGGCTGTCTAAATAGAGTTCAGGACTGATATGGAGTTGGAAATGAGCATCAGAGGTCCACTTTAATTCACTTTTAACTGGTAAGTTTTTAATCTTGTGTGTACAAGATGACACAACAAAAATAACTGGTGCACATAAGATAAAAATGTGTGCTGATGGAGAAAAATCACCTTAAGGAAACGAAAACATACATGCAATCCACATCAAGAGTAACTGTGCTGTATGACATTTTAAATCTTGATTTATGATTGTGATGGTGAAAATATTTATTTGTATTCTACGGTGAGCAATAAAGGCTTTAAAAATAAAACAATTTAAAGAAAATAAGTCATTTTCTTTCTGTTTCTGCTCTGTCCAGGTTCGTCAGTTTCCATGAAACAGCCAAGGCCGATGCAGTGCTTGGATATCTGATTGCCTTTCTGGTACTGCTGGCTACAGTCAAACTGTGGCACCTGCTGAGACTGAACCCCAAGCTGCACATGATTACAGCCACACTGCAGCGAGCTTGGACTGATATTTCAGGCTTCCTGGTGGTCATGACCATCATGTTTCTGGCCTACTCTATTGCTGTGAGGAGTTTCCCACGCTTAACATCAACATGCTGCTGGAGTCCATGTTTCTCTCTCTGTTTTATGTTTACTTTGTGAAATAGAAGTCATTTAAAGGTGGTCACTGACACAGAGGTGAACTTTCTATTTTCCAGTCTAACCTGATGTATGGCTGGAAGCTGTACTCCTATCGGACTCTGCTTGATGCTGTGCAGACCATGGTCAGCTTGCAGCTTGGTATTTTTAACTATGAAGAGGTCAGTATGAGACAATCATAATTCAACCACAGCTCACTTGCTGCTCATCCTCCTTCACTATAGTTCTTGCTTCTGGTCCCACAGGTACTAAATTACAATCCAGTGCTCGGTGCTTTCCTCATCGGGTCCTGCATCGTGTTTATGACCTTTGTGGTGCTGAACCTCTTCATCTCCGTCATTCTGGTGGCATTCACTCAGGAGCAGATACATCACAAGGTAACTCACCCACACCATGTCTGAAATGCTGCTGGTGTTATTGTTCAGTTCCAGTAGAGACCTGATTGTTAACATGTTTTTGTTTTTAATGACCTGAGATGAATTAATAATCCTTGAGTTATACTGAATGCTCACTGTTCTTGCAGCCGTCAGAAGAGGATGAGATTGTGGACCTGATGCTAATGAAAATCTGCAGTTTGTTTGGAATCAAATGTAAGAAAGAAGGAGACGGCCTGACCGGGACGCCAGACACGTCGTCTGCGCCGAATAACACACTCTCAACTATTTCTTCTGGGAATATTCATGATGGATGATAAGTGGGACAGGGATAGAAGGTTAACATTGTGATACCCATCAAATGCTTTGCTTTAGTTCCTGCTTGCCTTCATTAGCATGATTTAGTTGTCATGTTGTTGTTACTTTGTAACGCAATATTTTAACCCTTCCAAGTGTCTGTATTAGCATTTTTCTGTGCTGCTGCAGAGCTGGAACCATTGTACGAGAAGCTGATGCACTGCAAATGCTAGAAACTGAGGCGATCCTTATTTTATCCACATATGAGGCATTGTACGTAGAATGCAGTTTGTTGTGATAAAGGAAATAAATTAGTATTTATGTGACTAAATCGTGGACAATATGCATTTATTCCATATAGGTACTCATGGATATTAGTGGAAACTTGCACTGGCATTACCCTGGCAAGGCTAATCAATACTGTCATTACTGTCCAGTAGTCAGCAGCTATGCCCAGTAGTTAACAGTAATATACTGAGCACTGTGTTGTGCTTAGCATTATATCCCCATGACCAATTCCTGTAAGAGCATCTCATATAACACAAGTTTAGACAACATACACAAGAGAGCAGAGCACAGAACTTTCAAGTTAATGTGCAAGTTCTTCAGACTGCTCATAGCATCTTCAAGACCTCTTAAAGACGTTATCGCGTGAAGTTTTATCCATTCAAGCTACAAAAAAGGGAATTTAAGACACTTCAAACCCACATAATGTCTTCTTCCACACAGTGCATATGGTAAAAATCCATAGATCAGTGAACCATAAATACCAGTATGTAGTTCATATTACCTGACAACTGAAATTCTTTTGTTGCTCTAATGTGCATTAATGTAAAAGTCAAATGTTCTTTCTCTCCTGTCATCTAGTCTGGGATAACTGGTAGTTCTACATCACCTGCAGATGTAAATTTTGTCTGTCTCAGCTCTTTGAGTGAGATTTATAACCTATGAATGGATAGATAGACGGATACAGACTGCTTTAGACAATTCCTCTGTCACTGGGTCTTTACCAACAACACCAAAAATGTTAAAATGAGAAAAAGAATCAAATATTACATTTAAAATGTTAAAGTGTCTTTTGAAAACATGCCAGCAACGGTACTGATGACTTGATGACCTGAAGGTTCCATAGGTGCTGTGTGCTTGCTGTAGCTGACCAGGCTTGATTTTAAGCCTTTGAATTGAATTGTGGCACTACAGGGATCCTCAGGGCTGGAAGCAAACAAGCAGTAAGCTGCTAAGGACTTTTCACTTTCTATCAAGGCCAGAAGCCAACAATATGGAGATAGTGGGAGAGGAGCTTGATGAAGGATAGGATCAAAATAACCTGGAAAGCCTTTTGGCCCCACCATACAACAATTTGCATATAAATTGGGTTAGAATTACATCAGAGATCATCTCCATTACTGTTGTAATGGACAGGATGACAGATGAGGTTAGGTCGGAGTCTCCATGGAATATATATATATATAACGTATATATCGATATAAAGGATATTGTCACATCGATATTTTTAAAAAACTCGATATATCGCCCAGCCCTATGAACTATGTATTTGGACATATCTCCAGAATTGATTACGCTGCAACTTATATAACTACAATTTTATCAAAGCTTAAAAAACATTTAGTCCCACAGTCAAATAAATCTGATACATTAAGGATGCCTGCTTTACGCCACTGTAACCCAGTCAACCGATGTCCCTCCAATTAAAATTCTTTTATTACTCCATAAGGTTGCCGAAGGTGATTTAATAAAGTCCCAGCGACCTGCCCTATGTAATTTAAACCACAATGTCTTTGCAATTATAGGATTGGTATTTTTATGACTGCTATCAAACAGCTCCCTCCAAGGAGAAATAGCTTCCGTCTCTGTATGGGACCAGATGGGTTTAACTGGTGCAGTACATGTAGGTAACCAAGCTCTAAGTTGTTTCACGTTCATCACCCAATAATACCATTGGAAATTAGGCAATGAAAAACCTCCTTGTTTTGCACTCGCTTGAAGTTTCTTAATACTTAAACGATGCAGTGAGCTACCCCAAAGAAACTGCCAGATTAAAAAGTCTAGATCTTTGAAATACTGGAATGTGTAATGGAATATTAGATAAAATATAAAAGATCATGGGTGCAGTCATCATCTTAATACAACTAATTTTACCCCATATTGTGAGACGTACTCTGGACCATCTACCGAATTCCATTTTTATTCTTTCAAACATTGGCTCCATATTTGCTCGAACCATCTTAGTGTAATCCGAGGTAATTTGTATCCCTAAATACCTCAAACCATTCACGGACCACCGAAACTCCCACTGTTTAAATAAAGTATGGCAGTGTCCTGACATAGGCATTGCCTCTGATTTATCCCAGTTGACGCGATACCCTGAAAGCAGCGTAAAGCTTTCTATACATTCTAATAGGGCTGGAATTGACTTCCCAGGCTGGGTCATAAGTAACAACATATCATCTGCATATAATAGAAGCTTATGTTGACTATTACCCATCGAAATTCCAAATATATTTACATTATTTCTCAGTTTTTGTGCCAAAGGCTCTATAGCAATTACAAAAAGACCGGGGCTAAGGGGACAACCCTGTCTTGTGGATCTCTGTAAAAGGAATAGGTCTGATATGAGCCCATTCGTCAATACTCGCGCTGAAGGCGAATCATATAATATCTTTATCCACCTAATAAAATTGTCACCAAAACCAAACTTTTATAATGTCTTAAACAGATAATCCCACTCAACACAATCAAAAGCTTTTGCAGCATCCAGTGACAGGGCCACTGTTGGATATACTGAATCATATACATAATTTTGCAAATTAACCAACCGCCTAATATTATCTGAACCATAGCGGATTGGAACAAAACCAGATTGGTCTGCATGAATTATTTTCACCATTACTACTTTTAATCGACCCGCTAAGACCTTTGCCAAGATTTTTTGGTCAGAATTCAGCAAAGATATGGGGCGGTAACCACTTGGGTCTAAAGGGTCTTTTCCAGTTTTAAGAATAAATGTTATAAGTCCAGAGTGCATTGACTGAGGTAATGAGCCTACTTTGAACGCCTCATTATAAACATCGAGCAACAGGGGACTTAACATATCCTCAAATGCTCTATAGAAATCCAATGGTAACCCATCTAATCCTGGAGCTTTATTAAGTGGCATACTGTTAATTGCACGGGTAATCTCCTCCACTGTAATTGGAGCATCTATAATCTGCTGGTCAGTAGTAGAAAGCTGTGGCAGGTTTAAATCAGTAAAGAATGCTTCGAATTTCTGTTCATCTAAACTACCTTGTGTAGAATAAAGATTATTGTAAAAGGCCCTGAATCCATCATTTATATGTCTAATAGAAGTTGAAATAACCCCATGTGATCGTCGTATACCTGGGATATGGTTCATACTGTCTTTCTGTTTAAGACGGTATGCTAATAAACGACTCGGCTTTTCTCCCATTTCCCAATATGCTTGATTAATGCGAAATAAAGCGTATTCTGCCTTTCTGTTGTACAGTACATTCAACTTATATTTAACTTTAACAATTTTATTCAACGTAACTCTGTCTTTTGTATGGGAATGTA